CCCCAAAGGCAGGCCTGGCATCCCCACCCCCGAGTTAAAGCTTATGACCTGAGCCTTCCTCCTCGGGCCGGGCGGCTTCCGGCTCCTCCGCCGCAGCCTCGTCCGCCGGCCCACTCCGCTGGGCCCGGCCACCGCCACTGCCGCCGGGCATCCCATCTGGCTGGGCCTGCCCGCCCGCCCCGTTGGCCCCGGCCTCGGCCCGGGCCCCGCCAAAGGGGAAGAGCTTGCCGGCGTGGAAGGCTTTGGGCGGCGAGTGGCTGCGCTGCTCTGGGTCCCGCCGGGTCTCGGGCGACTTGAGGAATTTGAAGCTGAGGAAAGCCGGCAGGCGGGTGTCGCTGCCCGTGGGCGACTGGGCGGCGGCCGGCCGGGCGGTTGGGCCTGCGGTCGCCCCAGCCGGCGACGATATGGCCCCTGAAGACAGGAACTTGCCCTGCAGCGGAATGATCTGCTTCAGCTTCATGACGTTGTTGGGGGCTAGCAGCGAGCCTGGGCGCTTGGGCCGCTCCGCGCAGTGGCCGCCTGCCCCGCTGCCCTTGGCCTTGGCCGAGGCTTTCTCGGGCGCAGCGGGGTCCAGCCCGGAGCCCTCGGGCCGCGCCTCCTCCCGGCCGCCGGCGCCGGCATCGCGCTCCCGGCGAGCATGATGCTCCGCGTGCCGCTGCCGCTCCTCCTCCTCCCGCCGCCGCCGCTGCTGCTGCTGGTAGTGCTGCTGCGCCTGACGCTCATGCTTCTGCGGGCAGAGCGCGCACTGTTAAGGGACAGGCACCTGAACAGGGCGCCACCCACGGCCCCGGGCCCACATGGGTGCGCTCTGCAGAAGTGGGAGAAGTTTAAACACTTATTGGGCACCGACTGGGCGATTTCTGTGGACGTAGGAGATATTTAAACACTTGTTGGGCACCAACTGAATTCCCAGACCCACACCTGTCACTATCTGCTGAAGCGGGAGCGATTTGAGCACTTATTGGATCACCTGGCCCGCACAGGGCCCTTTCTGTGCGGAAGTGGGGGAGATTTAAGCACTTATTGGGTGCCAGCTGGACCCCTGGACCCACACTGGATGTCTTCCAGGAATCGAGAAGAGAAGGAGCATTTACTGGCCTCCAACTCTGTCCCTGGCCATGAGCAAGACACTGACTTGAGAACTGGGAGAAAATAACCAAATATTGGGCCTCAACTGTTCCCATGAGGTGGAACTGTTAAGGGCAGAAAGCTCTCCTCCACCAAATGTAGCCTGGGGCTACCAAACTGAACAGCAAAGCTACAGAACATTTTATCCAGGTGGAAAGTTCCTTTGGGTGGCGCTGGCAAGCTCTTTGGCCCACCTGTAGGCTTTCTGAGGAAGGAGGAAACGCTTGGCTTCTGCAAGGATCAGCCGTGTCCCTGGCCCGGAACCCAAACCGGATGCTGACGGGCAGCTGGCGGATGACTGGATACTCACGGAGGACCAGCTCTCTGCTAGCCCGGCACTGGATGTCATCAGGATTCCGGAAGGGACCCGCACATTTGTAGCACTAACTGTGACACCTCAATCCGCGCTGGCTACACGTTTGCCATGGGGTCAAGGGCTCAGCCACCAAGATCCATCTGTCTTTGCCACCCGTCAGCAGGGAAGGAGGAGAAGCCCTACTGAGTGTAGAGGAGGAAACCGAATCCAGCCTGTCCCACGGTACCTTGAAGGCCTCCCGGCGCTGGTACTGGAGCTTGGCCATCTCCTCGGCCACCCAGCCTGGGATGTCTGGGATGGCCACGTGGATAAGGTACTTGAGCAGCAGAGCGAAGTGCTGCGGGGAAAGAGAGACAGGGGCTGCAGGCTCGGGGGACTCCCACCTACCCACTCCTTGGGCCCTAGCCTGGCGGCCAGCCCCACCTCGAGCACCACCAGGGACACGATGGCCGCCTCCGGCCCGAGCCAGGGGAAGAGGCGTTGCAGCTGCCCGCACTGGCCGATTAGGTAGCAGTTGACCACGATGGCCAGGATACCCATGGCCTCCATCACCTTCTGTGGGGTGGCGGGGGAGGCGGGGCTTCAGGCAGGGCGGTTCCAGGACCCTCTCCTGCTGGCCCCGCCCCTCCCGGGCAGGCCCCGCCCCTCTCCACAAGATGTCCTCATCCTCCCTCCCCACCTGCCACTGGCCAATGCTCTCAACACGCTGCCCAAAGGGCCGCTGCAGGCCCGTGCACAGCTTGAAGGCATCACTACGGATCTCGATGAGATTGTTGATGAGGGCGCAGAGCGCGGCCAGAGGGAAGGCAGAGGAGAAAAGCACGACATAGCCGAACTGTACGAACATCTCTTGGTAGTCCTGAAACGTGTCCTGCGGCGGGTGGGAAGGCGGCCCGCCGTCAGACCAGCATACCTTCTTTCTTAGACCATCTTCCTCTCATCAAGTCCTGGGTTTACGCTCTCTCCCACTGGATTATCCTCCACAGACCCAGAGCCCTCCTTGCCCTCGGCCTCCTCCATCTGATCATGCCTTGGGATTGTGCAAGCTGTCCCCTCCTGCAGGCTCACACCACCTTAGGAGGCCTGGTACCACCCCAACCACCTCCATCCTCTGACTGTGCGCCCATTCCCAGCCCTGCCTCCACCCTCAGACTGTGCCCCCGTTCCTGTTCTGCCCTCAGACTGTGCACACACACACACCAGGTCCTGCCTCCACCCTCCGACTATGTGCCCATCCCTATTCTGCCTCCACTCTTAGACTATGTGTCCATCCCTACCCTCAAACAGTGTGCCCATCCCCTAGAGACCCTGCCTCTGCCCTCAGACTGTGTGCCCCCCTTCCCACCTCTACCTTCAGACTGCCCCCTCCCCCCACCTCCCACCCTCAGACTGTATAACCCCATCCTGCCTCTTCTCTCAGACTGTGTGCCCCATCCCGCCTCCTCCCTCAGACTACCCCCACCCTTGCCCTGACACCTGCCCTCAGACTGCCTGTCCTGCCCTGCCTCTGCCCTCCAGCTGTGCCCCTCTAGCCTCACCCGCCTCACCTCGTACTTCTTCATGCAGCTCTCCAGCTCGGCCTGCGTGAGTTGGGGCGAATGCTCCTCCTCAGGTGGGTCAATCCAGGATGTCCGGTTCTGCCGCCGCTGCCGGTGGGCTGAGTCACCCACACCTGGCTCGGATTCTGGGCTGCCATCAGGGCACTGGTCACGGCCCTCGCCCCCAGCCCGGTGCGGCAGCACAGAGGCAGAATCATGCTCGGGGCTGCTGGGGGTGCCCTCAGCCTCATCATCGTCCTCGGCCAACGTGAACACACCAGGCTCCAAGCCCTTCTCCACCATAGTGGGGCTGCCCTCCTCCAGCAGGGCCTCAGGGTTCAGGCCCCGGCGCCGCTCAGTGCCCCGCTCTGCGAAGCTGACCTTCTTCAGCCGCAGCCCACAGTCTAGGAGGCTGCCTTCCTCCCCTTCTTCCTCTTCTTCCTTGTCCTCCTCCTCCTCTTCCTCCTCCTCCTCCTCCATCTCCTCTGGGCACCCCTGCAGCCCATCCCCCTCCTCCCCACCTTCCCCAGCAGGCCGCCGCTCCACCATCGCCTCCTCCTCCTCCTCGGGTGCCCCGCAGCCCCCACGGAGACACCTGTGGCCCGCCATACCACCACTGCTGCCCCCCTCCTCAGCCTGGGGTTCAAGGTGGCGAGGTGCAGGGCGCCAGGGGCCCAGCAGGCCCAGCAGGATGCGGGCCAACTCCCAGACGGTCCGGAGGCCCAGCTCGCTGTGGCCCAGCCGCCGGTACAGGTGAGGCTGCAGGACCTCACGCACATTCTGGAGGAACTGGCGGGTGATGAGCAGGGTGGCCAGCATCTAGGGGTGGGAAGGGGGCAAGAGCGGCTGCATGGGGGACAGGAGTTGGGAAGCCCTCAGCATATGCCCAGACCTGCCTGTTGGCTCCACCCCTGTCCACTCAGGTGCCCCCGGACTAGAGGCTCCAGATTCAGGCAACGAAGCTGCCAGACACAACCTTGCATCTGAGTAACCCCAGGGCCTTTGCATGCCTTGCTGCCTGCCCCACCGCCTCTTTGAGCCCTGGCTGCAACATGGCCACACTGGCCAGGCCCTTTGCTCGGCCTCCTTGATGCCCGCCCATACTTTGACCGGGGCCACCAGCAGGAGGCCCTGGAGGGAGAGGAGGAGCAGGCAGAACTGCAGGGCCACGAGCAGGACCAGCATCACCTGCAGCTGCCGCTCAAGGCTCTGGGACAGGGACAGGATGAGCAGGAGCTGTGGAGGGACCAACGGACAGGTGGACGGACAGATGGGGGCAGAGACAGGCAGAGAGAGGACACACGGATGCACGGACAGAGAGGAGAGAAGGATGGAGGAGGGGGGAAGGAGCTGGGGCCCGGGCCACCACACCCCTCTCCCCCACCATGCTGTGGGTCCCCAGGGCCGCTACCTGGCCTGGCGCTCACCTCTTTCAGGCGCTCCATGTCCTTGAGGTAGAAGCCAATGTAGAAGAGGCTCAGGTATGAGTTGACAAACTGGAACTGTGGGAACAGGCAGCAGTCACCCCGCGCCAGCCCCTAGCCTCCTGCTGCCCACCCACCCACCTGCCCAAGGTCACTGCTCACCAGGACCACCTTGATGATGAGGTGCTTCTCATAGGCGCTCTCCAGCCGATAGTTTTCTGGGGGCCAAGTGGGAAGGTCAGGGGGCAGTGGGACCCGAAGAGGTGGTGGAGACTTTCTCCAGGGGTGGGTGGTGGGTTGGGTGATGGGATCTCCCCTCGTGGGGCGTACCCATGTCATTGAGCCAGATGGCGAGCTTCTTGTAGCCCTCTGCGCTGACGCTGACCAGCAGGGCCAGCACAACCTTGGGCAGGAAGCGGGCGAGGCGGGGCAGCCCCTTCATGTTCAGCACCAGCTCCTGCAGGCAGGGCACGATTACTTGTGTTCAGGCTCAGGGTAGGGGGTGAGCAGGGCTCACAGTCACCCAGGGGCAGGGCTTAGGTGGGCAGGGCTTAGGTGGGCAGGGGGTCATAGTCACTTGGGGTCAGGGCTCGGGCTTGGGCAGTGGGCAGGGGGTTCACAGTCCCCCGGGGTCAGGGCTCGATTTGTGGGTAAGAGGTTTGAGTAGGGGGTTCATGGTCATTCAGGGTCAAGGCTAGGGAGGGCTGATCAGGGGGTCATCTATGTCAGCTCAGTGGTGGGCTGGGCAGGGGTCCCCATTGGTCACCTGCAGCTGGAAGCAGCCAAGCATGAGCAGGAAGACACAGGCCAGGCAGGCCAGGCACAGTGGCAGGCTGACAAGCAGCTGGAAGAGCAGCCGCTTCCAGGGTGGGTAGTAGAATTCTTCGGCCCTTGTCACGGGGCTGATGCGCCGGATGCCCTAGGGTGGGGTGGGATGGGCGGCAGGAGGCCAGAAGGCGGGGTATGAGACCCCCTCACCCTTCCTGGTCCTCAGCCTCAGTTTCCCTCCTCTCAGCCCTTGTTCCTGCAGTGCCCCCAGCCTGTGTGGTCTCTCCATTACCCTTGGATGCAGACCCTGACTGACCCTGAACTGGGGTCGAGGCTCCTCCACGGCTTCCCCTGGGGAGTCCAGCGTCCCCCACTTGTAGGCCAGCTCTGCCCCCCTCCGCTTCCACTCCTCCAGGAACAGCGTGGACCACACCACATTGAAGAGGGCGAAGACCACACAGGACGCATCTCGGCTTGTCTGCAGGGGTGATAGAGGGTCAGGCATTGGCAGGGGGCCCCAGGGACTGTGTCTCTGTTCCCCAGGCCCCACCCACCGATCCCTGTGTGCACCTGATCAGCCTCGGTGAATGTGTACAGCACTGAGCCGAAGACAGCCGGGTACACCATCGCCGACGTGTAAAAGCCCAGCCAGGCGAAGTACATGGCGATCTTCACGCCAAAGTAGTCGCAGATCTCATCTGCGGAGGGAAAGGTCCCAGTCAGCCCCGCCCACCTCCCCAAACACCCCGCCCACGCGCTCCTGGGCCCGGGGGCCGTACCGAGAGGCTGGTTCTCACACACTGCCTGCACCCACGATTCCATGAGGCGGTTCAGGATGCGCTGCTCGTGCACCGGGAACACCTGCTGGATGATTCCGCGGGCCACCAGCTCGGGGACTGTGGGGGGACGAGCGCCAGTGACCCCTGCCTCTCCACCACCCATCCCCGCCCTCCACCGTGCACCCCGCCCAGCCCGGCTCACCCCGCTTAGCTGAAAGCCGAATCACAGTTTTTCGCCTGCTCTTAAACTGCAGAGGCTATTCCCCGGGGAGGAATTCTAGATGGACAGAATATCTGATTCTCCTGAAGAATTTGGGGGCTGCAGGGGCTGGCGTGGGAGGGAGTGAGGGACTCGAGAGGGTGGGATCCCAGTAGGGAACTATGGTTTTAAATAAAGCCGCTTGGAAATTTTCAGAGGCCTCTGTCGGTCATTCTGAAGCCTGAAGTGGGGTGCAAAGTTGGCATTGGAAGGTGAACTTGACGTGGCTTGTTTCTTGGAGGGGAAACTGAGGCCCAGGACCCCAGCCACGCACCTCTGGGAGCGCTGTCCATGGTCCTACCCCGTCTCTTATCCTGCCTAGATAAACTCCACTGGCCACGCCCCCAGGGGACAAGCCCCACCTTTTCACCAAGGCCCCGCCCCTCTCCCGATCTATTGGTCAGAACCAAGGCTCCGCCCAATTCTTCACTAGCTGATTGGCTTTAGGCCCCGCCCTCCTGCACCGATAGGCTGCTGCTCTAAGATCCAGTCCTAACTTCCCACCGGGATTGGAGAACTGTCCCCGCCCTGCTCACTGATTGGCTGGTCGTCCAGGAAGCGCACATTGTGCAGTGCCTCGCCCTGCTTGGCACGCAGGTTCTGCAGCCAGAAGCGGATGATGCTCTGGCGTTCCTATCGGGGAGAGGGTGTGAGCTCAGGGGACAGCGGGTCGGGGATGCGGGTGGGGGGCTGGGGATACGAGTGTGTGGGACGGAGGACACAGGGGAGGGGGCAAGGGACACGAGCGTAAGGGGGGAACACAGATAAAAGGGGGCTGGGGACGTGGGTGGGACATGGGGGTGAGGGTGACTCAGTGGGCTGGAGACACAAGTAGGGCACAGGGACACGAGTGGGAGACTTGGACACGGGTGTGGGTCGGGGACATGGGTGGGGGACTGGGACACGGGTGGAGGTCGGGGACACGTGTAGGGGGTATATGGGCATAGGCTGGGGGACAGCGGGCTGGGGATTGGGGCAGGGGCTGGTGGGGGGGCGGGAGACACAGGCGGGGTGCCGAAGACGTCAGTGGGGGGACACAGGCATGGGGTGGGGCAGCGGGCTGAAGACAGGGCACAGGGGCCCAGCCGGCTGCACCTGGGAGGTGAAGAAGCGCAGTTCGCTCTCTATGTTCTCGTAGATGAAGTCCTCCTCGCAGGAGAAGCCGCGTGTACCCCCGCCGAACTCTGCCTTCACCGCCTTTCGCAGCCCCAGCTCATCGGCCCCTCGGAGCAGGCTGTGCAGAGGAAAATGGAGGTGGCTCACCTGGCGGCCCCAGCTTCCATCCGGGAGATGGGATCGTGCACTCGGCGGGGACACATGTGGGGCAGCTGGACAGTGTGCTTGGAGCGTGGAAAGGCAGGGAGCTGGGTGGCAGGGTCGGCGGGAGGCCTGGTCCCGGGGGACTTGCCTCTCATAGGTGGCGGTGACGAAGAAGGCATAAGCGCGTGTGTGGCGGTGGTGGCGGACTTGCACGATGAGCTCCGGGATGCCCACGCGGATGTGGTTCAGCAGCCATAGCAGCGTGTGGTCATCAGTCGTGTCTGGCAAGGGGCACAGGGTCCGATGTCTCTTGCCACGAGAGGCCGAGGCCTCCTACAGACTCTCGCCCGAGCTCACCCCGTGTGGGTACCGGTGGACGGGTAGGGTACCTGGGAAGGTCATCAGCACGTCGCAGTTTTCAGTGGGCACCGTCTTCATCCAAGCCTTGTGGGACACCAGGTAACGCCCCGCCTGCAGCAGCCGCTTCCCAAAAAGCTTATCTGAAGGGAGGGCAGGGCGTTGGGTCAGGCCACTCCGGACCGGACCTGGCCCCTCCTCACACACCTGCCAGGGCTCCCCAGAACTCTCAGGCCAGCATTCAAGGCCTTGGTTTGTTTTCCTCCCTCCACGCTTTTGCACCAGCCTCCGCCAGGATGCCCTTCCCCCAGGTCCTCCCTTACAAACCCTACTCATTCTCAGGCCCAGCTCCGCCTCCAAAGCCACAATCCAGGGGCGCTCATTCACTAGCAGCCCGGAGTGTCTGCACTGGGTGCAGCTCTTATCCCCATTTCACAGGTGAGAAACTGAGGCCCAGAGCGGTTAAGCCACTTGCCCGAGGTCACACAGCTGTGCTGGGATTCGAACCCAGGACCAGTCCGTGTCCTCTGAGGGGAGGATTTCTCAAGCACGTCCCTGCCTGGCCGACCGGGTACCACCAAGGGTGGCGGGGCTCAGCCCCCGCCTGAGGCTCTCGGAGGGAGGGAGGGAGAGGGAGGGGCGTGTCGAGGTCTCTACACCTGGACCCCAGCCCGCCCCACGGTCCAGCCCTACCCGCCGGGCCGCAGCCGCAGTGCTGGGAGGGGCTGGCCCCCTGTCACTCGGCCGGACTTCAGGCCCAGGACAGCTGACCCCAGCCCCTCCTCCCAGGTCCAGCCGCCGCGCGCAACCCAGGCGCCTGCCAACCCTATTGGGGTCCCGCTGCCGCGCACCTACCCAGAACCCCGGACGCTGGGGCTGCAGGCTCGCCCTCAGGTTGGGGCCTCTTGCCGCGCTCGCCCTCCAGGGACGTTCCCCCGGCGGCGGAGGCGGCCTCGGCCATGGCGAGGCAGGGGCTGGTCAGGGGTTGCGGGCGACCGGGACGCCTGGGGGCCGCGGGCTCATGGGGCTGACGCCGCCGCCAAGCGTGCCAGAGGAAGAGACAAAGGCTGCACCCGCCCGCGCGGGCCGCCGTCCCCGCGCGCCCGAGCGCTGCTTTTCGTCCCCGACCGCGCCGAACCTCGATTCTCCTTCTCGGGCACCGAGCGCGTAGCTCTCTGGTTCTCCACAGCTCCCGCCTGCCTCACTCTCTGGTTTTCGTCCCCGCCCGTGTTGTTTTCTGGTTTCCCTGCTCCTCCGCCCACCGCGCTCTCTGGTTCACGTCCCCGCCCGCACCGAAGTTTCATTCTCCTCCCTGTCCCCGCCCGCCCGCATTCTGGGTGTCTGGGCCCAGAATCTCCGCCTCGTCGCCTTAATTTCCCTATTTGCAAACCCAGCAGCCCAGAGGCGCGGTTTGAAATCTTGGATAGCGTGATTTGGCTAAGGGAGGACATGGGAGAGGGGTGGGCCTGGTATGCATCATAATGACAACTACCATAGCATAGATGTGAATATAATTATAGTAGGTCAGGCCTCAGGACTTTTGCACATGCAGTTCTCACTTCCTAGGACACTCGTCACCCACCCCCGTCACCCAATTAACCCTTACTCCCTTAAGGATGTAACCTCCTCAGAGAGGACCCCCCAGATTTAGGAAACCAAAGTACAGGTCTCTCGATTAAATTTGAATTCCACATAAAGGAATAATTTTTTTGGTTGTTGTTGTTAGTTGCTGTCGAGTAGATCCCAACTTACGGCGACCCCATGTGTGCAGAGTAGAACTGTGCTTCCATAGGATTTTCAAGGTTGTGACTTTTTGGAAGCAGATCACCAGGCCTTTCTTACAAGGCACTTCTATAAACTCATTGCCGTCGAGTCGATTCCGACTTATAGCCACCCTAACGGACAGAGTAGAACCGCCCCATAGAGTTTCCAAGAAGCACCTGATGGATTCGAACTGCCGACCTTTTGGTTAGCAGCCGTAGCTCTTAAATACTACACCACCAGGGTTTCCAAGGCAGTTCTGGGTGGGTTCAAACAGTCAGCCACTCGGTTAGTAGTCAAGTGTCTAACAGTTTGCGCCACCCAGGGACTCCTAATTTTTTGATAGGTTCCCAAAATTACACAAGATATAGTTATCCTAAAAAAGTTATTCCTTGTTTATCTGAAATTCAAATTTAACTGGGTATCCTGTATTTTGTCTCGCATCCCTACCCCTGGACCACTCAGACAGTAGCCGCCACCGTTAGACTGGCCGCTCAGCGAGGGCAGGGACCCTGTCTGGGTATCAGTGCTTGGCACACAGTAGGCACCTAATGTATATTTGTGACAAATAGGACAACTCGGGGACAGCGAATGTTGTCATTTATTCCATTTATTCCATAATTGAGGCTGGGCAGGGTGAAGGGTGGGGGATTCGAAGTTTTCCCAAAGCGCCGCTGCGCTGCCCGCCCCCGGTTTGTTCAAGAACCAGAGAACTGACTGCACGAAAGAGCCCTGGAAGACCCCGCCCAACCTGGAGTTCCATCGCGCTTTATTCCTCGGTATAGGCGCTGTCCTGGGTTAACCTGAAAGTAATCTTCAGGACTTCCCTTTCTGGCCTTCGGTGAGCCCGAGACAAACCAGACACCCACAGCGCTGCAGGAGTAGGACTGGGACAGAGAGAGGGTCAGGGAAGCCCAGAGAGAGCTGTGCTGGAGCACCTCCGGTGGGCTTCGTGGAGGAGGAGCCACTGGAACTAGGCCGTGAGGATGTTTGTCAAGAGAAGAACGCCCGAAGCCGAGGGAACTGCGGGAGGAAAGGCTTGGGAGGGGCGAGGAAGTTGGAGAGTTTGGGGAAAAGCCAGTAGAACTCTTGCCAGAAGTTCAGGTAAGATATTCCCTGGTCCAGGGTGTGAGATGCTCTGAGCTTCAGATGTCAACCTGGCCTTACCAAAAACCAAATCCACTGCCCTCTAGTGGATTTCGACTCATAGCAACCTTATAGGACAGGGTAGAACTGCCCCATAGGGTTTCCAAGGCTGTAAATCTTTACGGAAGGAGACTACCACATCTTTCTTCCACGGAGGGGCTGATGTGTTCTAACCGCCGACCTTTCCATTAGTATCTGAGCGCTTTAACCACTGCGCCACCAGGACTCCTAACCTGGCCTTAGAAAAGTGTAAAAACCAAACCAGTTGCCGTAGAGTAGATGGCAACCCCATGTGTGTCAGAGTAGAACTGTGCCCCATAGAGTTTTCGATGGCTGATTTTCCCGAAGTAGATCGCCGGGTCTTTCTTACCAGGCGCCTCTGGGTGGACTGGAACCTCCAATCTTTCTGTGAGCAGCCGAGGTCGTTTACCGTTTGCACTACCCAGTATTTTTGCAGAGAGGTGTAGGCCCCTCTTCTCGGACAGGAAAACTGAACACAAATAGGTCCTTGTCTAGTCTAAAGCTACACAGTGGCCCGAGGGAAAATAGGAACCCTTGCCTCGCTGTCATTTCCACTGCCCTGTGCTGTGCCCTGCCCTTCTTCCCGCCAGTCATTTCCGTTGTCTCGGATCCCGTCTGCTCTAGGACCCTAAAACCTGGGTCTCCGGTTGCCGGGGAACGCCATTTCACTGCACTCCCCGCCCCTCGGGCGGCTTAAACCAACCAGTAGGAATGAAAATCTGCAGTCTGTGGGCGGGATGTCTCCGAAAGAGCCCAATGGAAGGAGCCCAATGGTAGTCGAGCGTCCCTCAGCGCTCCGCAGTCATGCCGCGAAGGGGCGGGGCATCCTGCCGGTACTTGAAGCCCCTCAGGATCGCCGGCGGGGGTCGCAGATTGTGAATCTATGTGGCGTGGGTTGTGGACCCTGCCGGCCCTGGCGGCACGTGGGCTTCGCAGGTGGGGCGGGTGGGGGACCCCGGGGAGAATGTATGACAGTAGGGTGGTGCTGCTTGGGCCTCGACTCACCCCCTGGGGCCTGGGGTCCAATTCCCTGCCGCAAAGTTACTCTTAGCGTCCTTCCCAGGCGTCCAAGCCCGCATTTGCCCACCCCCTGGTCACTTTCTGGGGTCAGTCCCAATCAAGTCACGCTCTGGCCTCAGACCCTCCAATCTGCCCACCCTGAGCCTCAAGAGCCCCCAACTGGGACATCTCCCGGCCTGAGAGTCTTCAACCCTCCTGCCACCCTGCGGCAGAGCCTCCCTGACGTGCTGACCGCTCCTTTCCCGCCGCAGATCGTGCTCGCGCCAGGGCAGCGGCGCCCCGGCTCCCAGCTCCGGAGCCACCATCTTCGCGCTGAGCTCTGGCCAAGGCCGCTGCGGCGTCGCCGTGATCCGTACCAGCGGCCCGGCCAGCGGCCCTGCCCTCCGGAGTCTCACGGCAGGCCGGGACCTGCCCCCGGCCCGTAGCGCCCGCCTGCGCCTGCTCAGCGACCCGCGCTCCGGGGAGCCGCTGGACCGTGCACTGGTGCTGTGGTTCCCAGGTGAGGAGACTGGCTCCCGAAGCTCCTGTAGCTCCCTATTGCCCGGGGTCCCCCCTCCAGGTGTATGCCCAGGCTGTGGCCTCCCTGGACTCCCCACTCTCTCCCATCTAGGTCCGCAGAGTTTCACGGGTGAGGATTGCGCGGAGTTCCACGTGCATGGAGGCCCTGCCGTGGTGAGCGGGGTCCTCCAGGCTCTGAGTGAGTAAGCAGCAACGAGATTGAGGCCAGGGTCGCCTGGAGGCCTGAGTGGGGCACGTCCCCCTGACCCAGGGGCTCAGGGCTGGGGCCTTCACGCAGGTGGTGTGCCAGGGCTGCGGCCAGCAGAGGCTGGCGAGTTCACCAGGCGAGCGTTCACCCACGGGAAGCTGAGCCTGACCGAGGTGGAGGGGCTGGCGGATCTGATCCACGCGGAGACAGAGGCGCAGCGGCGGCAGGCCCTGCGGCAGCTGGATGGGGAGCTGGGCCGCCTGTGCCACGACTGGGCCGAGACCCTCACCACGGCGAGTGCGGGGGACAGGATCATTCTTCCACTCATTCCCTGTGCGAGAGTTCCCACCTGTCAATCACCTGCGTGATAGAACCCCCCACCTGTCCCTCCGCTGCAGGAGGACCCCACCTGCCCCTCCCCTGTCTGAAAGCCTCCTGCCTACAGCCCCCAATCAGGCCCCTTATGTTGGGCAGCCTGATAAGATGGGGGGGCCCTGGTGCTCACACTCCCCCTCCCCCAGGCTCTGGCCCACGTGGAGGCCTATATAGACTTCGGTGAAGATGACAATCTGGAGGAAGACGTCCTGGAGCGAGGTGGAGCCTACTGGAGTGTGGGGGCTGGGGACACGCTGGCATCTCAGCCCTCTGAGCTTCCCTCACTTCCGCCCTTCTGCCTTCCCCCAGTGGACAGCTCAGTGAGGGGACTGCAGGCCGCTCTGGGCGCACATCTACGAGATGCACGGCGAGGGCAGAGGCTCCGCTCTGGGGCTCACGTGGTGGTTGCAGGACCTCCCAACGCCGGCAAGAGCAGCCTGGTGAACTTGCTCAGTGCGTGGGAGGCAGGCCGGAGGCTGGGCCTGTGTGGGAGATGGGGCCTAGAGCTGGGGGCTGGGTGGACCAAGGCTCTGTCCAGTGACCTGGTGAAGTGGGGGAAGGGCAGCCTCCCTTACCTCCACCCTACCCCTTCCTCTAACCCCCTCCCAGGCCGGAAGCCTGTGTCCATCGTGTCCCCTGAACCAGGGACCACCCGTGATGTGCTGGAGACCCCTGTGGACCTGGCTGGGTTCCCAGCCCTGCTGAGCGATACGGCGGGGCTGCGTGAGGGTGTGGGGCCAGTAGAGCAGGAGGGCGTACGGCGTGCCCGCGCGAGGTAGGTGGGGCCAGATAGTGGGCAGGGCCATGCAGTGGGTGTGGCTGGGCCCGTCTTCTGTGTTTTCTCCCTATTGGGTTTATTTTTCATTCTTCTTGAATGAGAAGAGACTGCTAGACTCCCTTAAGTGGGGAACCTCAGTGATTTGAGGAAGGCAGCCCGTTAAGTTCTGCCTCAGCTCCTGCTCGCCCCTCCCTCTTATGCTCTGCCCAGCCCCCTCAGGCTCTGCCCCGCCCAGTGCCCTTAAGGGCTCAGTTCTGGTATCATGCTAAGTTGGTTCTTCCTGCTCCCCCAGGCTGGAGCAGGCTGATCTCATTCTGGCTGTACTGGATGCCTGTGACCTGGCCTCTCCCTCTAGCTGCAACTTCCTGGACACAGTTGTGGCTCATGTAGGAGACCGGAGCCCTAATGGGAGCAGCCAGCGCCTCCTGCTGGTACTGAACAAATTGGACCTACTGCCCTCTGAGGGCCTAGGCCCCAGTCCTGACCTGCCCCCCTACCTGCTGCTGTCCTGTGTGACTGGGGAGGGGCTGGACAGCCTCCTGGAAGCACTGAGGAAGGAGCTAGCTACAGTGTGAGTCCCCTTGCCTAACTCCAGACCTGAGTTCAAGTGGGTGCTGAGCCACTGGTCTTGGGCACATACCTGCCTCATACTCAGTTTCTGTATCTGTGAAATGGGTACAGCCATCCCCAACCATCCTCACCCTTCAGTCTGGAAGGGTGGCTGAGAAGATTGAGAGTGACCACATCCTTTGTCTCTTCCAGGTGTGGGGACCCGTCCACAGGCCCGCCGCTCCTGACACGCGCAAGGCACCAGTATCACCTCCAGAGCTGCCTGGATGCCCTAGGCCACTACAAGGAGGCAAGAGACCTGGCCCTGGAAGCTGAGGCACTGCGGGTCGCCCGGGGGCACCTGGCCCACCTCACGGGGGGAGGGGGCACCGAAGAGATCCTGGACGTCATCTTCCGGGACTTCTGTGTGGGCAAGTGAGGGACAGCAAATGCTGTGGGCACTGCTCAGGGGAGACCAAGGCTCGGACCCAGGCTGGGCAGATGCCCAGAAGGCTTGAGAGGTCTGGGAATAGCTTAAGACAAGTGGAATTCTCATTCACCCGAGGAAGAGCTTGATCCCAAAACAGAGAAGCAAACAGCTGCCTTCGTAGGTAGTAAGTTCCATGTTGCTGGTGATAACCAAGCTGCGGCCAGCCAGTCCCCTCACAGGGATGAGCTGGGGGTTCGGGCCCTGGAGTGGGGCTGAATGGAAGCCCCTTTTGGGTGCCAGATGCTGGGGGAGTAGGAGTGGAGGGTTGGGATTGTGGGGAGGGGGGAATCTCAGGGTTTTGTAGTTGTTAATTTATTTTGCAAATACCAAAGGAATGTAAATGTAAAAGGGTGGGAGTAGCATCAGAACCTATCTAACTTCATGGGAGTAATGACCAGGATCAGCCCACAGACATACCTCCACTCTGCAAACTTTTTACCATTTCTGACATCAGCCGTCCCTCCCATAGCACTCTCTACTTCTGGGTTCGTTAATCCATTGCAATGGCCACACAGAACTCACAGACCATACTTACAGTTAAATGGTTTATTAAGGAAGCAACAGGGTACAACTTGGGATCAGGATCAATAGGCTACAACTCAGAATGAGGATCAGGAAGCATGCAGGCAAAGTCTGGAAGGCTCCCCTGAAGTGGAGAAGCACATTCCTTCCTTCTTCAGTACAGGACAACTCTCTTAGCTTCCCTCGGCCATGCAAGCAAGCAGGTCATTCTTTCTGCCGTGCACACGCCCTCTCAACCCCCTGAGGACAGGCCTCTCCGCCTTCAGCCTCCCTGTCATCAGCTTGTCCGCTAGTTAACTGACCTCGCTCATAACCAGTGTGGCCGTTTTGTTGAGCTCTCTTAGCTGCATTCCTAGCAGCAGGTTTCTGCCACAGGGCCCCTTCCAGGCTGCTCTCTTCAGTGTTACAGCTCTTTTAGTAGCTTCCTTACCTCCTCTCTCTCTGCTTCTCTCTTCTTCCTTCTGCTTCGGTTTGCCCACCTCTGTGGGGTTGGCTGCATATACAAGCCAGCTCCTCATCAATTTCAAGGCATAGCCCTCCCACCAGGGCCACGAACTAACCAAGCCCCTCTCGGTAGGCTGCAGATACTTCATTTGCATAATAGGCTACAGTTACTTCATTTGCGTAGTATATTGACCGATCCCTACAAGGTGCATACCAGTCACAGGGCAGGCTGCAGCCCAAGACTAGATAAAAAGTAATAAACCCTCTGGGATAGAAAACTAGGGCAAATGTAACTCCTCAGTGCTTAGGGGAAAAAAATCTCTCAAACTATTTTTCCAAAGAACCAAGGCAAAAGGCCACATAAAGGAACGCATTTCACCACAGTAAAAAACTCAGGTGATCCAGAAATGTTTAAACATGGAAAACTCCCTCATCCCCTTTCTAGGGGGTCACAGCTTAACGTGTCTTTCCAGAACTTTCTCTGCACGTTTGCACATTTGCGGATGCACCTTTCAAATATGTTTTGTCTTGTGTTTTGTACATAAGTTGCATAGTGTTTATTACTGTACAAGTAGTCATTCCTTTGTAAACTTAAAAAAATCTTATTTATTGTGATTATATGTAACAAAAATTTGCCATTTTACCTATTTTAAGTGTACACTTCAGTGACATTAATTACAGTCAACATGTTGTACAGCTACTACCACTGTTTCCAAAAGTTTTCCATCACACCAGAGACTCAGTTCCCCTGTAAAAATGGCCGTGGCAGAGGTGGCTGACCTCCTCTAACTTCACAAGGGAGAAGAAGAATCAAGATGAACAGCCCAAGGCTGATTCCTTTGAGGCTGAGATCAAACATACCTCCACCCTCCAACCTTTTCATCAATTCTGACACCAGCCGTCCCTTCCCATGGTACTGTTTGCTTCTCTGCTAGGTTCTGTCATTTGTTGCAATGGCCACACAGAGCTCACAGAAAATACAGTGGTCTCCCCTTACTGGCAGTTTCGCTTTCCGTGATTTCAGTTACCCACAGTTAACCGCGGTCTGAAAACTTCTGATTACAATGTTCTTCCAAAAGGTTTCAGCAAAAAAAAATCTTCAGTCATCGAGGATCCCCAATCATCATCATCAGCATGGCTGGATATCCTCCTGTGTATTGTCAGAAGGTCAATAATAGCTTAACGCTATGTCACAATGGCTACATCATTCACCTCACTTCATCTCATCACGTAGGCATTTTATCATCTCACATCATCACAAGAAGAAGCGTGAGTACAGTACAATAAGATATTTTGAGAGCGAGAGAAAGACCACATTCACATAACTTTTATTAGTGTACATTGTTATAATTGTTCTGTTTTATTATTATTGTTAATCTTTTACTGTGCCTAATTTATACGTTAAACTTTATCATAGGCAAGTATGTATAGGAAAAAACATAGTATATACAGGGTTTGGTATTATCCATGGTTTCAGGCATCCACTGGGGGTCTTGGAACGTATCCCCCGCGCATAATGGGGGCTCCTGTACTCACAATTATGGGGTTTATTAGGGAAGTAGCAGGTTACAATTCAGGGTCAGAAACGACTCAGGATACAGTTCTTCGATCAGGACAGCCCCTTCTCAGCCATGCCCGTAGGTAGGCCTCTCTCCAGCTCTTGGTCCCTTGGCCCTGTCTCTGCCTTGCTGGGGCAAGTGTTACAAATCTCTTTAGTTCCACCAATAAGTTCCCTGGGGAACCCTACTCTGCCAGTAAGCCTTGGCCTGAAGGCACTCAGCTCTCTTGCTCCTGGGTCAGCACACCCACTGTAGCTGTTCTGTCTTGCATCGGTCCCCTGGTTCTCCTACTGCTGGTTCTCTGTTGCACTTGCTGCCACTTCTTGCCATCTTGTGCTGTCTCAGGTGTTATAGCTCTCTGTTTCCTGGGTCTAGGAGGTTCTCAGCACAGGGGTCCTGGGTCCAAAGGACATGCTTCACTCCTAGCTCTTCTTTTTTTTTTTTGGACAGTGCAGTTCTAGGCCTTTATTTATTTATTTTTATTGTACTTCAGGTGGAGGCGTACAGAACAAATAGTTTCTCATGAAACAGTAGTACACATATTGTTTTATGACATTGGTTAATAACCCCACAACACTTCAACCCTCTCCCTTCTCAACCTTTTTTTTTTTGGTGAAAATATACATAGCCAAAGATATACCATTTCAAAAATTTCTACATGCACAGTTGAGTGACATCGACTACGCTCTTCCAATTGTGCTGCTATTCTCACTTTAGATGAAGGCTTACAGAACAAAATAGTTTCTCATTTAACA